GGGCGTCGGTTTATATGCTTTCAGTTCCCGCAGATAGAGTTCCTGCACGAGATCGACTGTAATATGCCAATTGGGTCAGTATCCTCCTTGTAGAGCGACTGGAGATGAATCACCTTGTCGAACGGCCGTGGGGGTGATGAAGGTGCGGCGAACGACGAGAGTGGGCTGCTGTCGGGCGACGCGAACAAGCGCCTGGCGCTGCAATGGGGTCAGAAAGGTGGCGAGAGCTTCGGGAGATATGCGCATACCGAGGCCCTGATGGATTGCGCAAACATTGTGTCGGGTTGGAGGGGTATAGGAGCTGAGAGGGAGTTCGGAGGTGGTGCATTGGAGGGAGTTTTCCGGACAACAGGCAAAAGCCGCTATTGCTAGCGTCTTGGCAAAACGTTCACCAAATCTCTGTTATACTCTAGACCCAAACTAGGCTTCCTCTTCTTTCTCTACATCACCAACACCTCACTGTCACCACACTCACTTATAACAGATCTGTTACACTAACAATGGCGTACGCTCCCGACGGCCGTGTGCTTTCCCCCGGCGAAGTTTACGAAGAGACGGCGGAGCAGGTGAAGGCGCAGGAGTGGACAGAAGACCTCAACGTCACTCTCATGTGCCCTGACTGCAAAGAATACCCTCCCAATCTCGTCGAAGAGTTCTCATCGGGCGACACCGTTTGTGCCTCTTGTGGAAGAGTCCTGGCTGAGCATGTCATCGACACGAGGTCCGAGTGGCGTACCTTTTCCAACGACGACCAGGGAAACGACGACCCCTCTCGCGTTGGAGACGCGGCCAACCCTCTTCTCCACGGTTCTCAGCTTCAAACAGAAATCGGCTTTGGCGATGGTGGGCTGCGTGTTCGGGAGCTGTCGCGCGCACAGAATAAGTCGAATCACGACAAGGCAAACAAGTCTCTTCAATCAGCCTACGGCCAGATCAGCACCCTTTGCGAGTCGTCAAATCTCCCCAAGGCCGTTTCTGATACCACAAAGATGCTGTACAAGCTTACCGACGATGCCAAGATCTTCAAGGGCAAGTCTCAGGACGCCATCATCGCATCGTGTATTTTCATATCATGTCGGCAGCAGGACGTGCCCCGTTCCTTCAAAGAGATCTGCAAGTTGACAAGCGTCCCCAAGAAAGAGATAGGGCGCACCTTTAAGATCCTTGAAGGTCATCTTACAAAGGTCTCGAATAACCAAAAGAAGACACCAAGTGCCACGCCGAACCCCGCCGCAGGTTTCGTGTCCGGTCAGGCCACCGACGCGGCAGCCTTGATCGCCCGTGCCTGTAACAAGCTCAACCTCAACCAGCAGATTACCATCATCGCACAAGAGGCAGCCACCAAGGTCACCAGTCTTGGCGTTGCCGCTGGACGTTCTCCTCTCTCCATCACCGGTGCTTGCATATATCTGGTCGCTCATTTGATGGGCGCCCCGCGAACTCCAAAGGACATTGGGCTTGCCGTGGATGTCAGCGATGGTACCATTCGCACGGCATACAAGTTGATCTATACCTCCATCGACGATATCATTGAGCCAGATTGGCTGAGGAGGGGAGGTGACAAGGGCAAGATTCCTAATGTCTGAGGGTAGACGGTCGAACATCTCATTCTTCTAGCGGGTGCATTAGTTGGCGTTCTCGAGAGATATCATCATCATTTCATATAAATAAAATGCCATCCAGCTCGTAAGTGAGCTTTGGTAGAACCAAATGACTACCTACGGGTCCAATTTAGAGAATAAGTCACAAAAAAATAGTTTCGCGATTTGGTCTTGCGCCAACGATCTCCGTGAGTGATGTTTCTGACTAGTGGTTGATGATTTTCTGCAATGTCACTGATCAACTTCATTTGATGCTCAAAACGGGAGTCGATGTACTCGGGCGCTCTTGGAACCACGTCTTTGCTTCGGATTTTTTGCTCTCCTGGGTCGCTACTTGGCTACGGTGCTCGGACACCTTTGGTCCCCAAAGTTTACCGAGCTTGACCACCGGTACCTTCACTTAGGACTCAGGTCAGCACTTTGGGCACGATGCTCGTTCGTCCTTGGGCTTTATGAGTTGTTCCTTGCATCACACCCTCTCTCACTACATGCAGACCATCGCAATTACCGTCAGGGCAAATCTCATTGCTAGCTTCGCTGATGTGGTGTATTGTCAGTCAACGTGAATTTGACGGGCTATGGAACGGGTTGTGTTGATTGTGTACGCGTTGATGAAGTCTCATGTATACACTCCTATGTTTGAACTGCCATTTTTACACCGGTTCTCGGACGACTCAACATCCCCTCTTTGCAGACAAGTGGCCTCAGAAGCGGCAAAGTTGAACGCACCATGCATAAAGATCCGTCTTGCCTCTTCTACTCTGCTGGGCTTACACCTCCTGTCACTTGCTCAAAGCTTCTCATCTCACTACCCTTCAGCCTTCACCACTGAGGCATTACTTTTACCTCCGAAATCATGGTTTATCGAAGCACCATGCCTACGGGTCTCCCATGGCGAATTGTAGCCACCGTTTTATCTTTCATCGTCGTCTTCCTCGGTCTCACTCCCCCAGTCTCCGCCGCCGATGAGATCATCATCACCAACAATTGCCCATACGATATGTGGATGTGGGTCGTCAGCCCTGAAGAGATAGTTCCCGACTATGCCCATCAAATTGTCCCCGCTGGGACCACTTTCAATCATATTATGCGCGGTGGTGGTGGCCAAGTGATCAAAATCCGAGACCTGCCTACATAGTACGTGTCTCCATCATACTGGAAGCCAAACGACGGTGTCCCAACATCTCCCTTCCTTCTACACTCAAACAAGCTTTGCTGAATTTAGTTCACCACCTTTAGTGAGGTGTACCCAGCGGGCATCATCCAAATCGAGTATGCCCTGCATTCGTCGAATCTGCCAGAGTTCACCTTTTATGATCTCAGTGCCATCGACTGCAACCGTTACACCGGACCTGAAGACCCATTGTACTGTCCCTTCATTGTTGGTGGGGTGAGGATGTGGACTAGTGGTGAAAATGATCCAGTTGCGACCTGTTTTGGGACTGAATGCCAGAAGGCATATGATAAACCTGGTGCTTGGCTCGGTGAACCAAGCTGGGGAACGGAAGCCGGGAACGACCTGTTCGTCGAGACTTGTTTTCATCACGCGGGACCACAATCACTGAGCGAGAAGGATCCTCTTGTGATTTCATAGCCACCACAGCCCGAGATTCCCGAGATCCCTGAGATTCCTGAGATTCCCGATGGCCTCATCGACATCTACGACACGCCCGCAAGCTATCCGGCTGGATCGACCCGCTGTGACCCAGCTTACATATGTTACTCGACGTCCCAGCCATGTCCATGGCCCCAGGCGTTCCCATCTGGCACGTCAGATTGTTCTGTAGTAACTTTTTATCGGGGTCGCGAGATGCGTGGATGTGTTACAGCGGGTGATTGTTTGATCGTGAGAACTGCGAGTTTCACAAGGGCAGGTGGGAGAATCAATAACATTTTCAGGCGGAATCACTGGTACTTACTGTTCGATTTGCGTGGCGGTTAGATGCATAAGAACATACTCTAATCTTAATAGTCGGAAGGGTTACAAAGGTGGATGAGAAACATTTCTTTCCCTGATTGCAGAGTTTAGGTAAATTACGCATAATCTACCAAAGATGAATTCTCTCTAACCCTGTTTCGTGTGCATCGAAACGTATTTTAGGAGAAGTGTATACTTGCTTGCAAACAGCCACCTTGACTTTTATCTCCCTCGTAGACGAACAATTAATTACGCCTGCTCAGACATCGCCCCCACTTCGAGAACTTCGCAATCTGCTATTCAATTGAGCGCCTGATCAAATGCATGACTTGGTTCAGTAAAGTCTACTAAACCCAACAAACTACAATCCATGGTACCGCTTGCATTAGGTTTTTACGAGCCCAATTCAAGCCCAGAGGAATTGACCCGTAGTCGTGACTGGCTCCCTCATGTTTCGCCCAAGGAATCTCATCTAGACCAATGTCAAATATTGAATTCGTTCTCACCAATGGTGAGATGGTCTGACTGCACGTGTCTTCACAGCTGATCTTTGGACAGAAATCCAAGTTCGAGTCATCTGGTACTGTAGCAGTGGTAGGAGATGACCGTGGAAGCAAGTACGTTTGATCGCAGAACAGGATAGAGGAATATTGAAACATGGACAACCTTGGGGGTTCCTTGCACAAGACAAAGGAAGAGGAAGGTCTGCGGTGGCATTACGCGGATGGCTGTACCCAGAGAAGTCTACGTGTCGGGATACTATTTTCATGTTGTATGCTTGGGAAACGGTCTCCCACGTGCTACTTTATGTCGAGTTTTGGAGGCTTCGGAAGTCTTGCTGTCCCTGATCAGTGTGCGTATCTGTATCTCCGTTTTCTGTCGGAAAGAGGCAGACGAAACCTTTCTTCAAGATCGACTCTGCCTCTATCTCATCCCTTTTCAACATTAATCTGGGATAGACTGCCGTGTGGTTGCCAAGATGCGGATGGCACTGCAATGTGGGTGTCAGGTATAGAGTTGATAAATGTCGCACAGTTCTCTTTCCTAGGCTCAATGAACTACACCTAGGTACCGAAGAAATTTGTGCAATTAAACATGGCCGTCTGTCTCTAATCCAGAAGCCTATGCAATTCAAGGCATTGATCAAGGTAGCGTATATCGTGCCAGACCGGAAGCAAAACGGGTGCAGTGCTGTAATAAAGCATCCCCTAAAATGACGTAGTGATCCCGGATTTCATACGGAGTAGTTACATGTAATTGATATTGCTAGACGATAGAGTGCTGCTGTTCCCGAGAAGACGCAATGAACAGATGTATCAGAGATGAACAACACGTGTGCTGGAAGTGGGGCTAATAAGTTTTAGTGAGGTTCGCGGAGTGTGCGGATAACCGCTCTGCCGGAGATTGCACGGCTCAAAGAAAGAGATAGTTCCTACTATATACTGCATGTAAGTTGTGTAACTTTCATAATTCAAACATTAGGGGATGTGGCTCAGTGGTAGAGCGCCCGCTTTGCACTGTACAAGTGTCTTGTCTGCGGGAGGCCCAGGGTTCGAGTAAGTCATATCTTCATAAGCAGTAGTATTCAAATTACTAACATCGACATTAGTCCCCTGCTTCTCCACCAAATACATTTCTTTTTGTTTTTGTGCCTCTCTAGATGGTTGTTCATTGACCTGCCTTCGAATGTACAACTGTCAGGTATTTGTCAATGTCTAATCAGCTTTTTTTTGGACAGGAAGGAGATCATGGTCCTGGCAGCGATAATTGACGAGTCTTGGCGGGGTCACTAATTTCCCGAGCGCTGTAAGACAAAGCTCCCTCATACCTCCGCATGGAAACCATAACAGCACCTCAGCCATAAAACATGAGAATACGCGGATCTCCAGTATGGCAGGCCGCTGCCGTTTTCTTTTTGCTAGGCGGAGTCGCAAAAGCCTCGCTCGGTGACAGGCTACCCGACTTTAAAGAATGTTTACTGGTATGAAGCTCCCAGCTCTCCTGACAGCTCCCCGTGCCAGAGCTAACATATATATACAGGCCTGCAAGGAAGCAAACTGCGGACAAGATCCGACCCCGATACGTGCGCCTCTTTGCCTTGCCCAAACTCCTTTACATATTGCTGACTGCTTCCTAGCCCTCCACCGCCGCATCCTCCTCTGGGATTGCCCCGCCGAATGCGATTACTCCTGCCAACATGTTGTTACGGACAAACGACTAGCACGCGACCCTCCCTACATGCAACCCGTCTACCAATTCCATGGAAAGTGGCCCTTCTACCGCTTCATGGGTATGCAGGAGCCCTTTAGCGTCATCTTCTCGCTCTTCAACTACCTCGCACACGACTGGGGCATGAACCAGCTTCGAGAACGAATACCCGCCTCTTACCCACTGAGGAAATACTATGTGTTATTTGGATACTTTGGGCTAGCGAGCTGGACCTTTAGCATGATATTCCATACGAGGGACTTCCATGTCACGGAGAAGCTGGACTACTTTGCCGCGGGAGCGAGCGTGCTGTATGGCATGTATTTCGCGCCGATCCGCGTCTTCCGACTAGACAAGAAGGACCCGGTCAAGCAGTCTATTCTAAGACTCTGGACATTGCTTTGCATTCTGCTGTACACGCTACACGTCCTTTATCTCACACTCTGGTCGTGGGATTACACATACAACATGGCAGCGAACGTTGCAGTGGGGATCATACAAAACATACTCTGGAGCGTGTTCAGTTATACACAATATAAAAAGTCGGGGAGGTTGTGGTCAGTGTGGCCGGGTCTGATCGTGGCTTGGATCATCATGGCAATGAGCTTCGAGCTACTTGATTTCCCACCATGGAAGGGAATGATTGATGCGCACAGCTTGTGGCATCTTGGGACAGTTGGGCCGACAATCTGGTGGTACAAGTACGTAAATCTCTGCTATCCACCACCCTCGGCATGGTAGTCATTGTAGAAGTATAGCTAACGTATCCCAAGTTTTCTTGTCAAGGACGCGCAGGAGGACTACGAAGGTACGAGGCTCAAGCAGTAGTTGGTTGATGAGCGATTGTGTCGTGCCATCGTACACCATCGCTTCGTCGCTTACCGTTGCTCTCAGGAAAACTACCGACGACTGATTTTCGTATAGGCGATCGAAAGGGGGATCGAAAGGGGGATCGAAAGGGGGATCGAAAGGATTGAGTGGTTGGAGATCATACACAAGGCATGCAGAGGGTCACGAAGGTGTGATGATTGTATAGTTCGAACAAGGATTGAGCATCAAGTTAGGGAATGAGCACGTGTGAACTAATTACTCAGTTTCGATTAATCTGTCCCAAAATTGCACTTGTGACCCATTCAATCAACTACGAGGACTAAAAAGGAATAACAAGAGTCGTACTTCAATAATTAGAAGCAGCGGACGCGACGCCAGAGCCCATTACAAAAGAAAGATACAAATCCTAGCAAGAACCCGCGCCGATGTATACATAAAAGAAGACAAGCAACCCAACGTCGATCACAATTTCTCTGCGTCTCTAAGCACCTCTAACTCCTGTCTAATGTCCTCAATCAATTTTTCCCCATTTTTCATATCAACCATACCCTCTGGCGCGAAAACCCCGACGTCTAGTGCGCCATTCCGAATTGTGGCTTCAATATCGATCGCATGCTACACACTAGTTAGTCCCAGTTCTCTCATAATCCGATTGTTGCACAAACCAAATACGCCGAGCGAACGCGCTCATGTACAAGCTCCTTCGGTGCTTCGAAACCTTCATACGATGTCTCCTTCACTCTGCCAACATTCTCCTCCCACTCTTTGAGTGGTGTAATGCTGATGCCCTTGGCACCTTCAAGGGAAGGAGTTTTCTCCACATCCGGCAGCTTCAAGAAATTGACAAAGGTATCTATTCTCACGCGTGTCCACTCGTACACCTCGGATAAACTGGCACTTGAGTTCGCCGGAATGCTGATCTCCTGGATATCATACTGGATCTGCGCAGCCATATCTAATATATCCGTTTGCAGGGGTCTGGGAACGCGGAGGGGAACGAGATTCATTGTTGGAATGGCCGCCGAAGCAATATTCGGGATAGGTAAGGAGCGATTGGCGAGATATATGCCAATCACTGCATCTTCCGAGCTGGGTGCTTGTGCGAATGCAGCATAGATTTTGGTGTATGCAGCGAGAAAGAGGGACTGTGTTGAAACGCCATTCTTACGAGCGAGGGAGTCGAGGACTTTGGTGCTGGGTAGGAGGCCGAGCTTGAAGATCTCGGTCTTGGTGACTGGTGGTGACGAAGGCTGAGGGATACGATGTTGTGTGATGCCAGACAGATAGTGAGTCCAGAAAACCTTGCGAGTTCGAAGGGCGGAAGTATTGTAACTATTAGCGAGTAGTCGGTTGAAAGTGTTGGTGGCCGCGGGAAGACCATCTCCATTACAATAGTCTTGGACTTGCTGCATCAGGAGTGGGAGACTGACGCCGTCATAAAGGGCGTGGTGGATCCTCAACGTCAATTTCCAGCTATTTGAAGACAACGCAGCAATGATATAGTAGTAGGGTTGCCTCCTTGCAGATTCTTTCATTGCATCGGATATGTTTTGCTCGTTCCAGTCGGTGGCGTCCACAATCTCAACATCGGCTTTCTTGAGAACGACTTGTACGTACGGCACCCTATTATCCTTGGAAGCTAAGAGGCATGTTCGGAGGATTGGGTTGGCATTGACCACTGCTCTCCATGCTGCTTGAAGTGTGGAAAAGGCGATTGGCTCATCTATCTTGTAGGTGAATCGAGGGTAGAAATTGACTCCGTTGGAGTTTAGGAACATTGAAAGCATGTACATTTGACCTGCAGTAGCCGGTAAAAGTTGTTCGACGTTCTCTTCTTCGATATTGGCGTGGTTGAGAACAGTGATCCGATCAACGCCAGTCAGGACTTCGTCAATCACAACCTCAGCATCGCTCTCAACTTCAGCAGCTGCGGACACTCGTCCGTCTACGACTTTTGCCATCTTTTCAACAGTCCCAGCTTTCAGCATCTCGCCTACACTGAGGATAACGGAGCGTTTGCGAAGAAGGGATGAAACCTTGATGGCGCTGATAGAGTCCAGGCCGATATGAAAGATCGTCATGCCTTCTGCGATCTCATCCTCGGGGGTCTTAGACACAAATGCCAAGGTTTCGCGGATGGCCTTCGCTGTAGCGGAATCCGACTGCAAGGGCGCCTGATCTTTCGCTTCGGATGCCTCATCGCGAGAGGTATTGTACTGTTCGTCCTGGAATGTTGGAAGCCCGCATATAGATTTTTTTGCTGCCATAAATTCGACCGTTGGAGCATCAGGTCGACTGACAATGACCTCCAATACTCGGTCTAATCTTGCCAGTAGATCTTGCGCCCCTGCCTTGTCGAGAACTTCTTCTTTGACTGCACATCTCCACACCAATTCCGCACCAAGGGTCTCCATCTCGACACACACCGGGTACTCAACATCACTTTGTCCTTCCACACTCTCGTACAGCTTCTTTCCGACATTGTCTCCTGTTGCTCTCTTCTGATAGATGAACAGACTTCCAAAAACATTACCCTGTATACCGGCCAACGCCTGAGCTTTCCTCAACGGGAAGTGTTGCCACTGTATAACGTTCTCAAAGTTGTCTTGGACATATTGCAGCATTTCTCGACAGTTCCCATGAATGATGATCCGGATGGCCACAGTATTCATGGTTGGGAACATAAGTTTGGATGTGGTCTCATCGTCACGCCCTGAAAGTACAGAACCGAAAGTCACGTCTAGCGATTGCGTGTAGTGCGCAAGCACCAAAGCGTAGACCGTCTGACCTAGCGTTTGCAGCGAAATTTTGTTCTTCTTCGCGAAAAAGATCACATCACTTAGCATCACCTTACTAGTGTGCTCTTCCCGATGGACTATTCTCAGGCTCTGCTGATTGACCTTATGCTGCGGGGAGAAATGAGTAGATTTTGCGTCCGAGAGATAATCGCGCCAAAAGGCAGCTGCATCGGCGCCAGACGTTGTGAGAATCCTGTGAAGAACGGAGTCGTATTTCGGTCTTGCCTCAAACTTCCGAGAGTATGCACGATGTACATCATAATGAAGAAGCCCAAGAGACCAGCCATCGTACAGCGCATGTGCAATCGAGAGTACGAGATACTTCTGGTTAGTGTTGCTGACGAGATGAACGTGGAACAAAGGTGCTGTCTGAGTGACTCGGACTACGTCGCCGCGAATAGTCGTGAAGATCTCAGAGAAGTCTGGACTCTCGCCAACCTCAATCTCCTTCCAGAACGCATGCGGAGTCCGACGAATAGTTTGAGCGAAAGAGAAATCGATATGAGGATCATCGATTTCGATGAAAGACGTACGTAGAATGGGTGAGTCCTTGACAACTTGCATCCACGCATCTCGCAATCTCTCGACATCAGTATCTGGTGCCAGCTTCAGAACATCATGATTCCAGTATCTTGTGTAATCCGATGCGATCATCTCGGCCACCATCGCTTCTTGTAGCGGTGTAAGCGGAAGCACTTGCTCAATGTCGTCCAATTTCCCTCCACGGCGTTGAAG